CTTAGGGGGTGGACCGCGACAGTTACTAAATGCGTGCAATAATTTTGATGGTATCAGATTAAAAAATAGGCTTCAGACTATAGTGCTTCTGTGCTGACTCTCTGACGAACACACACACACCTTTTTTTTTCAAAAAAAAAAAAAAAAAAAAAAAAAAAGTGCTCATGAGCAGAAGAAGCCATCCTCACGCAAAATTCAAGTTGTCCAATCATAGACGACCAGGTCCTCGGACCCTGATTGGTCTGACGCCACCGTCACATGTCATCGTTACGTGTATTCACAGAGACGTCTACGCTTCTTCTCGGTTCTTTCTACTTTTCATCAGAGGGGGCTTACGTACCGGCAAAAAAAAAAAAAAACTGCGCTTAGTAATGAACGCCGTGACATAAACGAAGCTCAGGAACTATCCAAGTCAAACACAAAAGCTCCTCAACCGAGCAATTCACAATGGTTTTAGAAACGATAGCAAAAATAATAAAAGTCCAGCTTCCAGCCTACCTCAAGAGGCTACCGTTGCCGGAGACCATCGGCGGATTTGTGAGGTTAACAGGTAATTAGCAGCTGCTGTGTTGAACTTCAGACAGTCCCGGGGTGATGAGTAGTAAACTCGTGGGGGACAGAGTTTTTTACTCCAGCTAGCTGCTTCTTCAAACACTGCTTTAGTAATGTCGTGAAGAGCAGTCCTACAAAAACAGGGATTATGTCCCAGAGTGCTTATTTGAGTCATGAAAGAGCTAAGCGTAAATATTTTGTGCTTGTCTGTGTGTGTGTCAAAGACAAAGTAATGACCTTAAGGTCGTGCTTGTTGGTTGTTTGCGTCTGTTTGAATGTTCAAACACTCGTGATAATAACCACGAATTTGTTACAAGTTTTAACTTTATAAACATTGCCTTTTTGTAAGTGAAGTCCTGTGAATGATGTGATGCTAATTGCTAATTACCTGCATATCGATTTTTCTTAATTATCCTGCTCATTCGAGCACTGGCCAAACTGTACTTTTGTGAAAAGCAAGTTTTAAACACATTTGTTTTATTTTGCACCATATGATCATCTGTTGGCGCTCCTGCAGAAGCTTTTAAATTATTTTGAATAAATCATACAAATGCGTCTGAGACTCTCTCGGGGCCCGTTTTGCATACTAACCTACTACCCTGTGGTCCCAGCTGCGCTGACTCTTTCAGACTGTTCTGTGAACTCTTAACATCACAATTAGTATCTGCTGAACCAGTTTAACTGAGAACCGAAATGCTGAACTTTGGCAAGTCTTGCGCAGTTTAAATATAGGAACGGAAGAAGTAAACCAGGGCTTCATAAAGTCAATTCAAAACTTGATCTTTTGAGCCAGCATAGATCATTGAAAAGTTTTGGATTTGTGGATGAGGACGTTTAAAGCAAGGCATGTGTAGTTATAATACTTCTGAGTCTGCCTGAAGGAAGCATGTGCAGTTGATACTCTTTGTAGTATCATGATAGCTTGACCACAACACAATGAAAGGCACACACAGTGTCACATGCACCCTTTGGTAATGGCATTTACATCACTAGCTAACCCTTGTGGAGAAAGTAAAACATTAATATAATGCCCATCTGAGAAGGCCTTCAACCAAAAACAACACTCTTCTTTTGGGAGATGGCGTTGGTTAATACTCACTGACAGGCTTAATATTAGTGGTTTTAAGTTAAAGCCTAGTTATGAAGGCCCTGCTAACTGTCAGTTTGTCCTAAGCAGCAAAGTGGGTCAGTTCATATTAGATGACGGTGCATAGCCATTCTCCCACATGCAAAGACATCCCTTTTGAACTGCGTACAATTTGTTAAAAGGATTAAGGATTAGAAATGTCCCATTAGGCATCAGAATCCTTTTAACCCGCATAAGGGTATTATCAAAAGCTGGGGTCTGACACAGTGCTAATAGTGAAATTACACAGCTGTCTTTAATCCCGACTGTGTCTTCACCATGTATGGTGGAGCATAAGGCGGGTTTTCCCAGAGCACTTTTAAGGTCTCGGTGTGGCATTTCCCCTGGTAGCTGTTGGTGTGATATGACACTCAAGTTGGATCGAGTGTAATAATACATTAGTAATGCAGATCAGACACAAGCTATACAAGAAATGTGGACCCGAGAATCTGCCTGCTTCCAAAATTCAGTTGATCCACATTTTTAGCGTACATAAATCACTAAGATTTCTCTTATGCATTATTTATGTAAAATTATGCTTATAACTCCATACTGGTACTCAGGTTGTTGCACTCTGCTTATCATATTATTTTATTACTTGTTATTCTTTTTCGTTAAAAAAAAGATTTATTTATTACTTTTTAAAAACGTTTGTTTGTTTGTTAGTTAGTTGTGGTTGTTTTTTCATTATTCTGTCTCTTTTCGCTCCGGGACTATGTGTACATAATTTCGTTCCACCTCATGTTAACATGTGATGCAAATTACAATAAAGCTCCTTGAATAAATTGCATAAATGAGGCTTGACTGGCTCACTAATGAGTTCATCAGAATGAGGAAGAGTGTACGGAAATGCACACAGCACTGTTGAAGATATGTTTTTGTCACACTTGACTGACAGTGCGAAATTTAGTTGAGTTCAGTTGATTCATATAGCCCCAAATCACAATAATAGTATAATTGTGTATTATGTCGTAAAGACCCCATAATGAAAGAAAGAAACCCAAACAATCACCCCTCCCCTCTCCACGAGCAAGCACTTGGTGATGGTGGGAAGGAAAAACTCTCTTAACAGGAAGAAACCCCCAGCAGAACCAGAAACACACTTGAAACGGTAGTGATAGAGTAAAAACGTTTCTTATGTGTACATTGCATATGAGTACTAGTACTGGATCATCAACATATATGATACATTTCCTGTCAGTTGGTTTCATCTCTAATCTGAATAGCCAGTAGTAAATGCCAGTTTTAGGACCATAGAATCCAGTTCAACATTGTATGCTTGTGTTTTTCTTCTTTAGCTAATGTGTGTATGTTGTTTATGCTATAATATCTATAGTGTCTGAGTGGCTCCGGTTGCTTCCTCTTCTGGGCATCTTGGCTTTGCTCGGCTATCTCACCATTCGCCCCTTTCTGCCTAAGAAGAAGAAGCAGAGGGACAGCCTGATCAATCTGAAGATCCAGAAAGAGAACCCAAAAGTGGTCAATGAGATAGACATTGAGGACCTGAACAGCGCAAATGTGTGTTACTGTCGCTGCTGGCGCTCCAAAACTGTAAGTCTGTTAGTATTTTCTGAAGTACACTGTTAGTAAACCTAAATATTGTTCACACAGACTGCAGAATACATTTCTGTGTTATCCACATTATTATTATTATTATTATTATTATTATTATTATTATTATTATTATTATAGCTTGTGATTTATTGATCAACCCCTCTAGTTAAACTGGGACAAGTGTTTGGGCATTCTACTTCTTGCTGATCAGTTATTATTGTTTCCTGTTTTAGTTTCCTGTATGCGACAAGTCACACTTAAAGCACAACGAGCTGACTGGAGACAACGTGGGACCGCTCATACTTAAAAAGAAGATACTATAATCGACCACTGATCAGATTTTTTTCTCTAAACAGTTTTTCTTGCTTTTGTCTTGGTGTTATATTTACTTAAAAATAGAAACCACACTCTGTTTGAAAGCTACCTTTTGGATACTTTAATGATAGTTTGCAATAAGGGAAGTTTTTAAAAAAGAAAAAAAGAGTAACTTCGTTTTTGTGTGGGCCTTTTTGTTCATTTTTCACGTTTGTTGTTTAACAGAGGAGCAGTTTTATTTGACTGGGACCACTTTGAGGGGGAAACTTGAAACATGACTGCATAATTGCAGTGACTTTATGATGCATTTATCTAATGTGAGGCCATCAGGGGAGAGGTTTTGCAGATAAATATCTGTTTAAATGGAGTCCTCAAAACTAGTCTGACCTTCCTTCATTTTGGATGATATTGGACAGCTTTTTTTTTTTTCCTTCTCCTTTTTCTTTAATTTTTAATTTTTATTTTGTTTGCTTCAGATATGTGTGCCAAATACTAACATTTGCATACTTAATGGATGTGACATATTTTAAGTTATTGTGTGTATGGGAAGCTACTTATTCTTTAAATCTGTTCTACTCATAGCCTTTAAATGTTGAGTTTTACATTTTGTATTCAGTTCTGTTGCCTTAAGACATTTCAAACCACATCAAAGTAATTTCAAGATAAATCGTGTTTCACTAAACTTTCAAGGTTTGAAAATGTCTGTTTCCTTAAGCTTTTGTCATATCTGTATGAAGTTGTCTTGGAAAATTTTCTTCATTAATAACTATCAATAATAAATCTGCATTTTGTTTGTTTTTTTACAGTATAACTGTTCATGAGCTTTGCAAGATAAAGGTGGGAATTTATTCATGCTAGATGTAGAAATAAAGAGAATTTTTACATCTTTAATGTTTGTTAAATTAATGAGATGTGTCATGTTGTCTGCTTGTCACCTTTGGAAATAAAAAGGTCTGTAAGGTTGTACTTAGAGAATGCTGCTTTGTTTTTTTTGTTTTTTTAAGCGGTTATGTTTATCATTTTAATATATTTTTTAAGTCAGTTTTTCAGGCAATGGTGGTAACGGAAGGGAGCTACAATACAAGAGTGAGTGACTTTTCAGAGGTAGACTTCATGCCAATCCAACAAACATTGACCTGTTAGTATTCAGAACAAGTCTTTTTATTGGCACTAGAAGGTTGAAGTTACCAGTCATTTGTGTGTCATAAAAATCTTTAAAAAATGATGTGGAAAAACCATGTGATTCACTAGACAATTGATAATTTTGGCCTTTTGGAAGCATAAATGTTGTTGGATCACCATTGATCTTCTCATATCATGAATGTCTACTAATTTTACAGCAGTCTATCTAATAGAGGCATTTGTTCCAGGCCCACACTGATGGCCTTTCCCACAGACCCTCACTAGAAGCGCACCGCTAGCGTGACCAGAAAGGAAACTGCTCACACAACACTTTTGAATAATTTAAGCTTTTACTGCAGCAAAGATAGGCAATAAATTTACTTTTACATAGTATTTGGGTAAAATGAAAACAATTCTGGAAAAACAATCATAAATAGCTGCTATTACGAAATATTTTAAGGGAGGTCATATAAATTAAAACAAGACATTTCATGTTACACCAGATACATTCTGCAATTAAAAAAAAAAAAAAACTAAGAATATTGAAAAATCTATATTTCTTCTTCAATTATAAAATGTTGGATTCATACAGTTTTGCAAATATAGACATGATCACACTGGCTGACATTTAGCAGCATCGTACTTATACTAAAATATTATCAATTACACAAATCCTTCCCTGACTCTTTGCAAACTACGCAACTGATCTCACCATACTGACAGAGGGCTAATATGCATACACAAATCAAAGTAAACAAACACAGCATGAAGATGTAGGACGCCTAAAACTTACATGTGGTTTTACAGTGTAGTCTACTCATAGCAATAAAATTTGCTTATCAACAACATCCCAAAACGTTCTCTGTGCCCCACGAAGAAAGCTGCTTTACTTTGACCTTTCAAGTCAAAGTAAAGCAGCTTTCTTACTGGTAATCCAATCAAGAACAGTGGAAAAATTCTGGATTTAGTGAATATGACAAGATCCTTTAAAAAGTATAAACCATTTCTATACCTTGAAAACAATATGATTTTTTTTTCCAGACAGTGCAATGTGGGTCATTTGTTTGCAGTGTTAGGGCTGGAAATCACCAGATGCTATAAATACAAAATGATTCACGTGTTCCTGCAGGACTGCGAACACAGAGAGCTGAACAACAGAGACACAGCGAAGGCCACTCGGTGGCCAAAGAGAAGTTCAAATATCTGAGGTGTGAGGAGTTTCTTTAATTCTCCTTTCTCACTTGACATCAGAGTGTACTTTCATAGGTGACGGGAGTTTCATTGTCATCTTGATCTCCTGCTGCAGTGCCTAAGAAAGAGGAAGAAGAGACAGGGAGGAAAAAAATAATAAGACTGAGAAAATGAAAGATTTAAAAAATGAAACTAGCTGCACTTTTTGCACTGTGAATAAATGTATTTACATGAACACAATACCACTGTTGTGTGCCTGTAAAAAATCATGAAGCTGCTGAATGACACAGTGGCCCAAGCTATGCAAATCATTATGTCATAGGGGTGTAGCAGGAAAAATATTAGAAAAGGAAAGGATACTCACTACTCAAACACACCTAGTTAGGTTAGCAAAGGTTGCTGAGCCGAGCTTGAATTTTCAAAAGAAAGACTTTACATACCTAGGAAGAAAGCTGATAAACTGGGTTTGACTCGCTCACCGCTGACTGGGTTCTCTGGCTTTTGCAGCAGGCGAGGTCCACACAGCCCTATGATAAGTGCACCTACAGGGGCTGTGAGAAGGATGGCGAGCACAGCCACAGTCAGCACGTCCATGCCGTATTTCTGCAGCTGCTTGTCATCCTTTGTCCTCGCCATGTCCAAAGCTGTGGATCCTATAGCTGCCTGACAGAGACAAGTCAAGATGTGGCACAACCCCACAGACTTCAAAGACATTTAATGCATATGCATTTCATTCAAAGGTTTGCTAAGGAGACATACCTGCACTGTTGCTTTAGGCATCCATGCTAGGGCTATGAACACTTTTTCCTTTATGCTAAAGCCCGCAAATAACACACAGACGAAGGTGAACCCCACTCTAACCAGCAGACCAATGAGGAGAGAGGCTATACCCAGACCTAGAGACATGTAGAGACAAAAGTCATACAAGGACAACAATATTATATGTACACCATATAAATCCCCCCCCCCGCCCCCTCATGCAAAACAAACATGTCAAAAGTTATTTAGTAAACTGTTATAGCTGTAAAGTGCTAACAAAGACAGAGGGATTAGTATTTACAGGACAGGAAGAAGCATCACATCTCTCACATTGCCTCTTTTTTTGGGTTATGCAAATATATTTTCATACACAGAGTAATATTTGAATTTTTCACGGTGATAACAGCCATCTCGCTGTGGGTTATTTTGAAGGCTGTTTGTGTGTGTGTGTCTGTTTATCTCACCAACTGTGTGTCCCTCCAACTCAGAGACTCGAATCTCAGCTCCTATCAGTCCAAAGAGAAGAGGCTGAAACACATCCCACGCCCACCCTATCACTTCTTCCACACGTGCCTAAGGACAAAGAATGCAGGACATGTTCACTGTTCATATTTACTTACAAATATATAACAACCAAGTAGTTTAGAAGAAATTAAGTCTAAGGTTTTGGACAGTTAGCCTCGTTCAAATTCACCTCCAAAGTCAGAAAACTGCAAACAGACGTACTGATGTACTGTAGTTATTAGATGCATTATTTTCACCTTTTCTGTCCCCCAGCCAAGGCCAGCCAGGAATGCCAGCACCAAGGTGCACAGGCCTCCGGAGCCAGGAAAGCCTGCCACACCACTGCCAAACACAGCAAAAACAGACAGACCCAGCACCAAGAAGGAACGCTTCATCACCAAGTGTTTCTAGAAGAAAAAGTTAACATTAACAGTAGGTTTCTAGATTACAATATGCATTATTTAACAAATAATAGCTCTAAGGTCTATAAGAAATCATTTGCAAAGAAGCTAGGGCGTGTTGGTTCACAGCACTTTCACTTTTGATGAAGAAATAAATCCAATATGTAATCTAAAGCTACATAATATTGAGGTTTTTAAACAACACATGCTGCCATTGAGATGACAGTAAGAGTCCTTGGGCTAAACTGGCCTGCTTAGTCCAAATCCGTCCCCAGTAAAAACATGTGGCACATTCTGATGTAAAAAGGGCAAAATGAGCACATTAAAAATAAAACCTTTCACATCTGATACTTTTTCAGTTCACTTTTTCAGTTAGCAGGGTTAAAATCTGCAGTTTTATTCTTATTATGTTTCCTATTTACGCACTACCCCAAACTTTTTTATGGAAAAAGGGTTATACTTTTGTGGAGATATCATCTGAATTTCAGGAGCGGGACCACTCCTCCTTCATGCCCCCTCTGGCCTCAGGCTATAAAAGCCCCCCTTCTCCAATACCCGCTGTTCTCATTTTCATGCCCCCCGCCCCCCTTTTTTCTTTACTTTATTCTCCTGTTCTCTCCTCTCTTCCTTTCCTCCCTTTATTTCTCGTTAGTACAGGGGGTTCTGCCCGGCCCGAGAGCCGTCGCCAGTCCCCTTCAAGGCCTTCCCCAAACCGCAGCACTAATCACACTCCCTCATCCCTCATTGCTCATCGTTACCAAGGGAGTGGTCCCTGCTAATGAATTATCCATACAAGCTTTCCCTGGCTGTTACTTTACTGATGTGCTCATAGGCTATGGTGTCAGTTATGAGTGATGAGACAACAGTAAAACAGGCTCTTGTCATCTTGACTGGTGTACCTGGTCAACACTAGGGAAGTACTGGATGAGAAAACCAAGAAGAATCCCAGCAACCATCCCTCCTGCCACCTCCAGCACCCCCCTGAGGAGGTTGTACCAAGTTGAACCTAGAAGAATCAATCGAAACAAACATTTGTGAAATTGTGAATTTCTAAAATATTTTAATTTGCCAGTTCAGAAACAAGTCTTTCTAACTAATGCAGCTCAATACAGAAGCCAGCAAACACTCAAAGTATATATTTTACACTTTCTTACACTTTATTTAGTGTAGGCTTAACATGTTGGACATTTTGGCATCTACAGTTTGAGTGCTGTTGAATTACACCACAATAGAAAGAGTGTTGCAGCAATACAAAGATAACCCTGTAAAAAATTAAGATTCTGCCATATATAATGAACTGGTGCCAGAACTCTGTATTAAGAGTAATCAGCACGCTCACACCCTCTGGTGACATCTTTACAAACTACAGCAAAAAGTTATTTTCTTCTATGCGTCTCTCTTTGGGAGATAAGGTGCTGTTGTGTGTCAAAAGCAAAACAAAGCAATAAATCCATCAATTCTTGTTTTCCTCTCACGGCTCCACACATGTAAACGCACAGGGCAGAGATTACCTGTGGCAAAGGCCATGCCCAAGCATGTTGTGAATCCTGTGATCGCAAGAATGTCATCAAAGCTGCCTGCAGCCATCAGCAGGGTGGGGATGCCCTTCTCTACACCGTAACCGTCCTTCTGCAGCAGGAGCATGGAGGGAACCACCACTGCTGGAGACACAGCTCCTAGCACGAAGCTGCAACGTGGAGAAGATAGAGGGTTCATTCATTCACTGATAAATGAAAAACTCCCGGGCAAGCTTTACAAACATTTGGTAAGAATTTATTCAATTCAATTCAATTCAATTTTATTTATATAGCGCCAAATCACAACAAATGTCGCCTCAAGGCGACATTTGTTTATTATACCATAGTTAATAAATGGTAAATGAGTTTTTAAGCAAACAAATAGTTATTGTATTGTGAAGAAGATTATAATAGATTGTTTTTTGTCTGCTAATCAATAACAATTTAAAACTTGCCTGTATGTCATTAGTTTGTGTAATAATTAATTATTTTAAGAAACATATTCTGTTCTTGTATCAATGCTCATAAAATGCATTTAAACGACACGATGATACTAAACATGTTATATAATATAATATTTGATCATGATAATCAGACATTACTTTACTTTTATAGTAATTGTGTTACTGTTCAATTGAGAAACATATTGCCTAACATTTATTTAGCTATACATTTACCATTCAACAATGTTTATTATGACGTCTTACCATTTGGGTAGAAGCAAAAGGAAAAGTTTGAGCTGACTAATGTAAAGTGGAATTAGTAGAAAAAGATTTCTGTGGTTATGAACAGCTAACAGGGCCTTCTTTCTACTAAGTCATCCATTAACCACAACATGCAACACAAGAAGAACAAGCTATCTAGATGTAAAACCAGAGCTTCTTGTTTTTTTTACAAATACTAATGCTCCACTTAATACCCTCAATGCTGATGAAGCAGATATGCATCTTATTTAAATTTCAATTTTTGTGATGTTCTTCATGTAAACATGTTCCTTATAACTGCAGTGTTTGTTTTTTTGTTTGTTTGTTTGTTTTTGTAGTGTTAGGTTTAATTTATCACAAAGTAAGATTTGACCTTCACTCAGCTCTCTAAAGTCTGGTTGCATTGGGCCCTAGTCACACAGGCCTTGAGACCAATCAAGGACTTCCTAGCAGCTAACAGTTGCTGGGATTAAAATGTCTATTCCCTGACCAAGAAGATTTAAAAGTTGTGCCTTTTGAAATGTGTTAGTCTCAGTAGCAATGGACAATCATCCTCCCTTTCTGGTTTGTTTCAGGCTTTTTTTAATGTTTCACTACCACTTGGCAAGTAGTTTGCAGCAATGTCAACATCTTTCATGCCAGTTACAGGTAGCCATGTCAATCTGCTAGCGATCACAGCAGTTTCTGGGGCAGCACCTTCTTTGCGACCGATTTCACCCAGCGAGTCACCAAATACAAATTTTGTGTTTGTGACACACCTGGGGATCACGAATGAAACAGTAATTTTAAAGTATGTGTATAGATTTGCCATAGACATCAATCAATGGTGATTTTGGTTATGAAGTTGAAAAATAAGAGCTGGATACAGAGCAAGTGAGAGTAGTGTTGTATTTACCCAAGGATGAAGCCCCACACCCAGGGCAAGCCCATGAGGAAGTGAGAGATCACAGCTACGGTGCAAGCCTCTATCGAGCACGGCCCAGCTGCCACACGTATACACACAGCTTTTAGTTTCCTTAGAGCCTGATAACAGACACACACATCAAACAAGTTATTAGATTCTGCCAATCACTACAAAAAGCTTTAACAAGCATATTTAGTAGTACTGAATGATGAGGTAAATAACTGACTAAAACATGAACAGATTCTTCCTGTCATTTCTTAACCTCCAAGGACCTGGCATCCACATATGTGGGCATCCCATTTTGGGTTCTCTAGACCAAAATACTAAATTTTGCTGTTGAAGGGCCTGATATCCACTTACGAGGTTATTATACTACCACCGTTTTATCGAAATTTAAAGCGAATGTCCTCATATGTGGATCTCATTTTTCTCAGAAACAAAAATAAGGTAAAAAAAAAAATCTTGTTATTCTTTGTTTTTACGTTCATCAGGTCTCAATCAGCCCAAATGGCAAAGAGAAATTAAAAATGCATGCCATGAAAGAGTTTGGGTCTTAGAAGGTTTAATTAACTCTTCTTTTAACTACTTTAACCACTTTAACCAATGACATAGCTATCAGTGACAATACTATTTGCACCAGTATAACAAGTGAAAAGAGATGAGATTAACATATAATTACTGTATTTCTACCTCTCAGTGCCGATGTTAAGCTTGTATAGTATCTAGCATACCGTGGGATCCAACCCTAGACCAGCTCTGGCCAGAATGACAGCCAGAGCAATGTTCCTGAGAGATGCAGACCATTTGAAGTCAATGTACACTCCATCTGTAACAACTGGAATGTTCCTCAGCAGGAAGCCCATGAGCAGCATACCTGAAGCAAAGCACAAGTGAGGGTGAGAAAGAGGAAAGCTGATCCTTATTACCATGAAGGTTTGTTTATTCTTTGAAGCTTTCTTTCATGTTGCTACAGAGAAAAAAAAACACAAGCTCACCGGTTGCTTTTTGAACACAGGGTGTTAGAATCAGATACTCTGCAAATTGTGAATGTTGAAACCCTAACACCAGAAGTTTCAACAATCCACAACCTCTTCTAAAACTTCTTGACTCGGATAATTGTTTGAGTCAAATAACACAACATTAGTATTAATTAATTACATTTTCTTTATGAACCAATACAACATAGATAACAATGACTCTATCTAAAAAAGCAGTAGAAAGGTTAGATTTCGGATCTACAGAGAAAGTCTTATGCTATAATAAGTGGGGGAAAAAAAACACATGATGCACATATTCTAATGGGTTGCCAGACAAATATTCTACCATGGAAGCTAAGCACCATCCTCTAACTTTTATAACAGCATTCTAGTTAGTGGTTTATTGAAAGACTAGACAAACCAGAAACCTAACTGTTAAGCAAAGCTCCTTTTTGAAGACTTACTGAAAATGAAAAAACATGAACGAGATGTTTAGAGATGCAAACTTCTACCCCTCCCTATAATGTTATCAACTAAACAAGGAGTGGTTACAGTTTCCTTGATGTTTATCAAGGAAATTGATCAAATGAGAGAGTCACATCACATCATGACAATGCACAGTGCAAATAACTCTTCTGATGATCAGCACTTTTTCACCCCCTGAAAACTAGCAGCACAATTGGCATATCTTTTCAAGCCAAAGGTGCCACAAAGGTGCCACAATAATCTTTGCTGTGTAAAAATACAAAGAGATGCAAAACACAAAAAAATCCAGAACATCAACGGACAACATGATTTTTAACTTTTCACATGGATAAACTTACAGTACCTTGACAACCTCAAGCCAATGAAAAGTTTCTCAAAGAAATTCAACCTTAGTCCTAGATGATGTAGAACAGGGGTGGGGAACCCCAGGCCTCAAGGACTAGTGTCCTGCAGGTTTTAGATATCAACCTGGGTCAACACACCTAAATCAATGACTAGTTCATTACCAGGCCTCTGGAGAACTTCAAGACATGCTGAGGAGGTAATTTAGCCATATGAATCAGCTGTGTTGGATGAAGGACACATCTAAAACCTGTGGGACACCAGCCCTTGGGGCCTGGAGTTCCCCAGCCCTGATGTAGAACATACGTACGTTACGTATAATAAGAAGTATTCAGTTTTCAATTTAAGGATACAGGTTTTTTGGTATTGTTTTTTTTTTCTCTAAACACGCAGAATTATATACTGTCACCTGACTTCCCTTTCACCCTCAGCAGGGATCATCACTCATCAGTTGACCTCACTGTTGCCAACATGCAAACAATGACAAAGCTTTAACACTTTAACACAGGACTTTTTTTCAAAAAGCTTCTAGATAAAAATATACAGACAGCACTGCAGCACTACTAGGTCTTACTCCCCAGCGAGAGCTCAGTTCAGAGAGTGAAGCAAACCTCTTTTTGTATAGTTCAGTGAGCTGCAGGATGAGTTGCCCAGATTGAGGATGAGCACCATGTGAGATAAGAACATGAAGTTATTCCAGGAACAGCCATACTGCCACCGTGCATTGCATAATCATGTATGAGTGTCCTTGGAAATGCGGTTTTGAGAAACTTTACCTGCATGCTGACATAACTGCTAACAGTTTAACAAATACTGATGTCTATCATGCACAAAAAAGACAAATAACAAGGTTAATACCCATTTGTAGGTATCACGAATCCATTAAGGCAGCCTGTTAGCAAATGCTCATGGCATGTATGCACTTTTATGTCATAAATGACACAGTGCTCCCATCATTATCAATAACTGAACCCAAACATTAAAACTGTATGTGCTTTACAAATATGGAAGTTTAACAATCACAAATCCTACAACTAGGCATGCACCAATGTTTAAAATGACAATCTTTTTTTAATTCAATTTTATTTCATTTATATACATTGAAATAACAACAACAGTCCTTATATTCTAAGGTAAAGACCCCAACAAGACAAAAACCTCAACAACTATAAACACCTATGAGCAAGCATTTGGAAACAGTGGGAAGGGAAAAAACCCCTTAACCCCCTTAACAGGAAGAAAGCAGGACCAGCGCACATGGCTGGGGTTGAGGTTTCACTTTCTTTTATGCTATCCCCTATTGTTTGAGAGAAACAAAAAACAGTGTGATAAAAAGCTTTTAGCTGCATGAGGAAGAACACCGGATGCCCTTCACGATCCAGTCCCAATGAAATTTGTGTTTGATTCTAGTTTTCAAAGTCGTTATCTTTTACTTCTTGGGTAAATCTGTACACCACTACACTATGGAGCAATGCCATTGGCAGTTAACATAGCTAATATCAGTTAGAACTATATATCACTCTGATGGATAAATCTGTGTAGATATATATATGGACTAAATACTTAGATTAACATACCAGTGTCACCATAAAAAGTCAAAGCACCAGATTTTCTGTCTTACCAAGGAGTGGTGGGAAAGGTGGAAGTTTGGGCAGACGAATGAGAGACACCAATTTTCCACCAACAACTGCACAGATGAAGAGTATTGTAATGCCAAAGAGGTTTCCTCCTGGGAGACATTCATCCTCTGTGATTGACCAAACCACTCCAAAGAGCACAACTGCCAAAAGAACTAGAGAGAACAGGGAATTATGGGGCTGCATTTCTCAGGTAGTTCAATAACTACTGTATATTCATGATCTGTTTTTACACATTCTTGGATGGAAACATACAACAAATGTGCTTTGGAGGACAAATCAGCCTCCTTTTTTACCTTTGGTAATAAGGGAGGCGAAAAAGCCTCTTGGCGGACAGGGGCAAAATCTTCGCAGCAAAGGACAACAGACCACTGGTGGATCTGTGTTGGTACCGGCGTCCACTACGGGGTTACGAGGAATAAAATAAGTGGTCTCCTCTGTTACATTTGGACTTGAGCAGCGACGTACCACCACCTGGATCTGGCTCACATTTAGGTGCTTTAAAAGAAGGATCACGACATGGAGCAGGTCAGTGTTCACATTGCAGGGTGGACAAACTGTTCTGCTAGATGACCTAGCATATTTCTAAAGGCAGCGCATAACAGATGACAAATAAATATGAAATGTGCAGATTAGTGTGCAAATTCGAATTTACTGCTCAACTCCACAACTCGCCATAACATATAGTATAATAACATAAGCATAAATGCAGCATTAACATAACTAGCTAAATAGTGGTACATGTTTCTGGATTATATTTACTATGTCTTAGTTTGCACATCTTCAGTCAGAAGGATACCAGCAGTTTTACAGAGGCATGCCATATCCTAAGTTTACAGACTGCTATACACTTGCGAAATGAACAGTTTTGATATGCCATATAAACTGATAACAATTTCACAGAGTTGCTCAAGGGGTTATGTTGGCTCAAAGTTGGGAGAATTCCTTGAACTGGTTTACAATTCTTTCTCAGAGGAAAAATTTAAGGGAAAAAAAAAACATCAATAAGGCGACGGTATTAATTTTAATGAACAATATATACAACACAGAATTATTAAATAGAACAACAGGTGCAAAAAATTATTAGCAGTAAAATACTAAACCTCCACATGGTTTGGCACAGGCAAAGGAATTCTGTCCAATAGTGGGCTGGGAGCTGGACTAGGCACTGGACTGGGTGCAGGACTCAGGTCCGGGTTTGCAGGTTTCTGCTGGGTGTCCTCCATGGCGGTTGCCTACAGTCTTTCTGGTCCACTCTTGTATCACAAAACATCAAGCTGAGGGGTGGGGTTAGCCATCAGTGGGCTGTTCTTTTACTTTTCTTTTGGCATGTCCACCTCTATCCACAGGTTTCCATTCATACAATAGGTTTTTATCAGTAAGAAAAAAACAAACAGTATCAGTGGTGCTGGTACAAATATTGACATAATGTGAAATGATATGGTTAAATCTCCTACATGGGCATAATTGACTAAACACATGAGTGTTTGGTGTTTAAAAGAAATGGATTTCATTACATTTCACAAATACTGCATAGTACAAGCTATAACGTGTGCAAGCAGCGATCTATCAGGCTAATACACAGGTGGACACGTGGGACTGTTGTGGAGAGCTGCTGTAACCTCCACATCAGTCCCAGTCTCTCGTTCTGTGTGCTGTATGTACTATAAAAATGTGAGTGACTTGTCAACGTTTGTGTATAGCACAGTGTAAACCATTTTATGGTGTTTTGGTGGTTACAAGTACCACATACACAGGAACGCCAAACAGACGCTACTACAATGTTTTGAAACTTGCTTTTAGCGAGCGACAGACGTCCTGTTAATCCAATTGTAAGCAAACCCCGCTAATCAATGCTTACAGCTACACCATATGGCATAGTAGCTAGCGTTAGCTCAAGTAGGTAGGTTACAGAGCGCGGATGCTAAAGCAAGTAGGTTAACGTGCAGCTGTCAACGGCAACAACCCGCTCGCACTGGTATCACTAAACCTAGGCACCTAGTTTGTCAACTATCGCCAGCAAGTCTTCGAGATATAGGGGTGTATCCGTGTTTCATTCACTGTAAACACGTGTATGGCCAAAGCATAGAAGAAACTTTTGGCCATACTATTCAAGTGGTTTCACTAGCTGTGGTTCCATTATCAGACATGACCCACTCCTGAGTGTGCACTATCGCCAGCTACCACCGCTCCTTCCGCCACTAGCTATTTTTTCGTTTAATATGGGAGCGTTTCGCAAATATCTGTGGATTACAGCGTTTAGGCTGTGCACAATACGGTTTCATGTCCTATTGCTAAAGTCAAACAACGACCCTAATTTCTTTAAACGTTAAATTGACAGCCGAGGTTTTCTAACTTCGGTTTATACAATCAAGCTGGATTTTACTTTTTAGTCAACTGGACCAGCAAGTATGGGGGCTAGTTTAATCTCCACCACCCTGACAGCTGGTTCTTGTCCGATATTTGATGTCCTACTGTCCAGTAGCTCCTTATGCCTGTGTACCTCCTATTAAAAGCTGACAGTGCACCCACCCTTTTATGCAGGTAGCTAGCAAGCGACCGCCTCTGACAAAAATTACCTAATAATTATAGAAAAAAAAAAAACGCGCTCACCTCATATCGTAAACACCAGAGCGTGTTGGCTGTCTGTGGCAGCTTTTCTCGTAGCCCTGCAGCAGATGCACCAGCTGGTACATGAGGAATGAGGCGGATTAGTGACTGCCAAGCAAGTATGTAGCGTCCACAACGGTGCATGGAGAACAGGTTACTTGGAAAACTGGTTTGCTTAACATCTTGCACATAGCTTTTGTTTCACTATTATGCACAGAGTAATGCACAGTAATGGAAAACGGGAAAGGTTTAAAGTTGATTACACACTTCTGTACATTATTTATAGTTTGAATTTAGGATGACAAATATATTTGCAGCATAGGTTTCAGTTGCAAAACAAGACATTTTTCCATAAAATATGCAATATTACTGATATTTTTTTCTTATTTTATAATAATAATTTTTTTAAATTATCCATTTATGACAACTTTATTTGAATTCAAGGCTTGGATTCCACTTCTGTAATGGTGTAGTCCTTCCAGTTTCCTCACAGTCTCCAACCTCCATCGATGATGTGCTCTGTCCCAGTCACATAGGCTGACTGTGGAGGGCCCAGACAGTTTAAAACCACTGGTAAATTACTTTACTGACAAAATATCTACAGCTTTCTCTAGGTATGTGTATTCCTATGATACCTACACTTTATTCATACTATTATTATACCTCCTGAATTACATCTGTGCAAGCACTCACCTCATCTGAGGCCAGGTATACGCACAGGTGTGCAACCTCTTCGGCTGTGCACAGCCTGCCAGTTTTCTGTCTTGCCATAAAGTCTTTATAAGCCTGTAAATGAGTAATAATTGGATCATTCATTATCTTCATCATCCAGTCATCATTATTTAACATTGTGTAAATAAAGATAACGTATAACACATAGTACATGAATCACGCAGGCATTACTGTCAGGTTGGCGAAAATGTACATCAAAGCCTGCAATACCTGTTCTGGGTTGGGCTGAGCCTGGATCCTACCCCTCAGTGATGGAGTATCAACAGTCCCTACAGAAATAGAAAGAGAGCAAGCCTAATGAAATGTTTATTAAAAGACAAGAGTTAGTTAAGAAATTATGGTCTTTGGCTAAATGAACATTTTTCTATTAATAAGTATTAAATACGATTGGGTTGGACTTGGATGTGATGTATATAAATAATCAAAATAAAAGTATACACAGCATCTTTTTAGACTGGCTCTTAAGCCAGTGTGCGCTAACATAAAACAACCTTCAGCTAAAAAAACCCATCAATTTAGTTTCATTTCAAGGACGTTTACAGTATACTTTGAGTATCACTGAGGAAGACTAAAAACACATGGTGATATGGTGATTTGTTGCACTGTGTTCTAACCTTACCAGGACAAACACAGTTACAGCGAATGCCTTGCTCAATGAAATCCGCAGCTATGGACTTGGTGAGCCCAATTACTGCAGCCTTGGAGGTACTATAGACACACCGGTTAACAACGCCTGTGTTGAGGAAACACATCTGTCACTCACACACAGCCATACGCAGGCAAAGCATTTATCTGAGATAAGAGGATTGCAAAGACTGGCCAAACTTCAAAGACATCGTGTCCCTTTAAGTAGGAATAGTTCTACAAGCAACTGCAATAAAAAAAAGATCTGAGGAAGATCGTTTACCTTTTATGCTTGATGCAACAGATGCCATGTTAATAATGTTTCCCGACTTCTTTGTCAACATCTAGAATGACAAATGGCATATTAACAAAATTGTTTTTGTTGAATCCAGATTAAAACTACACAAACAAAGTAATGAAAAGTGCAGAGATCTGCGCTTAAGGTACAGTTTGGCAGTTTGGTTAGTTTGCAGCTAAAGCAGGATTAGTAGCTGAGCAGTCCCCACCCATCATGTCATGGGTTCACAGTGGTACAGTTAATGCAGCTAATCCAACAACGGATGAGAACAAAATTAAAGGCATATGTCACACTATTATCGGTAGCACCTATTACATTCACGGGATAAATGGTGTTAAGGGTTTGGTGAAGTGGCCAAAAGTCACCTTAGGCAAGAAAGCCTTGCTCATCAGGTACATGCTCCGCACATTGACATTCATTGTGAAGTCCCAGTCATCCTCTTCACAATCCAAGATGGTGCCATGATGCACAAATCTGTGCACGAGCACAGACATTTAGTGAAAAATAGCCTCATCTAATAACTTTAGACAGCATTAATATGACAATTTGGACAAACAGTGAGATACAAGTGACAATATCTGTACCTAATAACTTAATCAAAACCAGAGTGGTAAACTACTGTCATTTCAAGATAAAACTCAAAGGTGATAATGTAGAAGAAACCTGTTAATAAAATTGAGAAAAAGGGGAGAGGGGGTTATGTATGTATGTTATGGGGTTTTGGAAATGTAATTAAGTAGTAAGCAGGAGACAGATGGGTGAATTAGAAAAGTGTAACTTAAATTATTTTATCTTTTTTTCTCCTTTTGCGGTCACCACAGCAGATCATTCAACTGACATCACATCTTATTCCTAGCTTCCACCTATATCTCACCAACACTGCATGTCCTCCTTCACTACATCCAAGAACCTCATCTGTGTCTTTTTTCCTCCTTGCTGGCAACATCCTCTGTCCACTGTCCCTCCTCTGCAAATCTCCAAACCATCTCAGCCTAGACTTTCTAACTCTGTCTCCAAACCGTTCGACCTGAGCTGTCCCTCTGATGTAGTCAGTTCTAATATTACCCAAAATCTGAGCATCTTTATTACCATCTTTTGAACCTTTTCTTTCACTCTTGCTGCTATCCTTCTGTCACAAATTACCCCTGACACTTGTCTCCAGCCACTCCATGCTCCTGCAATCTCTTCTTCACCTCTCTTGTGCACTGTCCATTGCTTTTGATGGTTGAACGCAGGTATTTAAACTGATCTACCTTCACTACCTTCACTTGCATGTTCACCTTTCGACCTGTGTCCATCTAATTCACATGTATTCTGTCTTTAAATTATCATAGTCCACAGTATCTCCTGTCTGACCTCATCTGTCATCCTGTCCATCACCACTGCAAACAAGAAGGGGCTCAGAGCTGATCCCTAATGTAATCCCACCCTTACCCTGAACCCATCTGTCACTCCTACTGCACACCTTACCGCTGTCTCGCTGTCCTCTTACATGTCCTGCACCACCCTCACATACTTCTCTGTCTCTCCTGATTTCCTCATGGTTAAAAAGAATGACTTAACGTTTATTTGAAACTACAAGTAAAATGCACAGTGACTGCTGATTTAGGAATTCTGGTTTTGACATATTTTTTTTCAGTTTTCTACTTTAATCTGTTGTCAACAATAACTCTCTCTAATTTACTTCCAAAAATGGTGCAAATTACAGCTTTATTTGTTTTAAAAAGGTTACTTGATGTGGAACTTCTAAATACCATACATTTTGTTTTGTTTTTCCAAGAATTATGTAAAGTTTTTGTTTCTTCAGTAAATCAGAGAAATAAAAACTAATTTAAAAAGTACCCAGCAACGTTGAACAGAACATCTACATGGTCATGTTCCTTGGCCAGGGCTTCTACTTGGTCCTTCTTGGTCACGTCCACGACTTTGGTCCTGATCCCTGACAGCGAAAACAAAAACAAGGACAGTTTAGATTATACTTGCACTGCTTTTTTCTTCATAACCGCTGGCTTTATTTTAGTGCATGAAATAATTCAAGGTATAGCAGCTTCATTTATCAATCATTTTCACAGTTACACAGCAAAACAATGGTCCTGGCTGCTATCTTCTTCAACATAGATCTTCTCCTACTGGCCGCTGAGTGGCTCTGCAGAAAGCCAGTTAAGAGGGTGAAGTGCTCAGGTGTGATATCAGAAGAAAAATGTTGCTCATCTCCTATTTATTCAAACCCATTTACTGCAGAGACCAGAATAAATAGAGATATGGTCCTCTTCTCACAGTCTTGAAGAAAAGACAATTAAAACCCATATAAAGCCTTTTAAAACTAATATATGATATGCACACAAGAAATGAGATAATCTGTTTTTTTTCTTTTTAAAATTACCACAGTGCAATTTCAATTTCTCTAATAGAGATAAGTTAAATGGCTCTTGTAGAAAAAAAACAACTTCACTCTGGGGAAAGCACAGGTGTTATGCATTTATACTAATTAGCTGCTTTGGCCAAAATGAGAGAAATTAGTAGAATGCATGCATTGCTTCTTCCACTTATCTATTGCCGGGTTGTGGGTGCCAGCTACCTAAGCAGAGAACCTAGGTCCTAGGCTTTATAGGCTAAAACCTCCTCTCAGTCAGACAATCCCAGAAAACCTCCCTCACGGTGCACCCAGGAGGCATCCTTGTCAGATGACGGAACCATCTCAACTGGCTCCTTTCGATGTGGATTAACCACGGTTTTAATCTAAGCCCCTCTTGAATAACTGAACTTCCCACCCTATCTCTAAGTACAAGCTATTTCAAAGTAATCAAAGTTTTAAAACTTTGCATCAAATAATTAAGTTGTGAAAGAACTTGAATGAAGGGATAGGAGTAAACTGGCATCCCTTTTGCAATGCCTCAAATAGCCAGAAGATGGCAGCCATAGATCAGCAGAGATGAAGCTTGCCTTGAATACCATCCAGCTCCTTCAGCTTTTCTCCATTTATGTCTGTGGCTGTGACCTGAGCTCCCTCCTTAGCAAATGCCTACAGATAAAAAAAAATAAATCAGTGTTCAGTTCCAAGTGGTTCCTCAATGTTCTACATGCTGTGCTATAAAATTTGAGGAAAAATCTGCAATTATGATGATTGGTTATAACACAAAACCGAAAAGAGAAGGACACCGAACCACAGACACAACTGAGCAGGAATCTAAATTGCCGTACGAATGGACGAGGGCACTCCAACTACAGGGAATAATTCAGATCATCAATACCAATCAATATCTCATTATCAAGCATCTGAAAGCAGACTGTCAATATCCATCCACAGTTCCACAACTCTTCTGAAATCCATTCAACTT